CCAGCACACGCGCGCGCGCACCCCGTAGCCGTTGCCCGCTAGACTGCGGCTGCACGCAGTAAGGACAACTGTGAGGACAGTCTCAGAAGAGTCCGCGGGACCTCTCCCATTTGAGAAACCCTTATCCCAGATTCGTGTGTAGTCCGTACTCAATTTGAGCCGGAAGTGGACATCACGTCGTGTCTTCAGTTGCGACCTGCAAGAAAGAACAGATTTGCTGGTGCTATGGACCAGCGTGGGTCCCCCGGAAAAGTCTTTAAAGTGTTTGATGACGATGATCTCACAGAGAGTATCGCTTTTCAGTTCGTCTTATGGAGAAACGAGCGAATAGTGTCATTTTAACAAGAAGCTAGAACTCATAACCCCACCACCACCACCATGTTCTGCTAAGAACGGAAACTTTAGTCATCTCTTTCATTTTCCATCATTACAAAGAAATAGCGTTGCTGATTGTGGGACTATTCCTACCTGTGTATTTTAAACTCAAAAATAACAAACATTTTTTCCTTGATTTGAGGCATAGTTAAGAATAGAAGCCACTATTTGCAAGTAAGTACTCAGTAATGTTTTCTATTTTGCCTATCTGCAAAAGCTTCGAATCACTTTCAGAATTAAGAATGCATGCTTCTGCGAATTTGGCCAGAAAGAAAAAGGAGTTGGTCTAAAAATCCGTTAAATTCTAAAATTTTGCATCTGTGGTTTAACATGTTGACACGTACTAAATTTTTATTTTTTTATTTTTAAAAAGCGATTTTAAAACGATATTTGCTTCCTGTATAAATGTAACATATTTAATAAGAGTACTAATATCAGTATTGTTTCATGACTGAGCACACCTAAGCTTAATTTTGAGAACTTTAAGAAATAAAACTACAACTAGGTCTAGAATATCTTAAACATTATATCATTATCCCCTTCAACTCAATATAATGAATATCACGGTTCACTTTAGTGTTCAAAGTTATGTTGTGGGGGAACCAAAGGAAAAATATAGTATGTTCCTTACCCTCAAAATATACTATTTCTAAACAGGATTACTGTAAAATATGTACATAACATTTTCAAAAAGTTTTTTTTCTCTCTCTCTCTCACACACACACACACATATATGCACGTGGACAAACTAGGACCAATAATCAAGGACCTAGAGCAAAATCTGACCCTGGCTGTCAAGCTTTAAAGAGTTAGCAAAAGGATGAAAAATGAAAAATATGAAGTTGGAAAACTTACTCGAGCCTATAAATACAATCTATATAACAGTAAAAGAAATAGTTGAATACCACCGACACTGATGGTATTTGTCTGCAAAATGAAAAAATACTAACCTTGAGACTACTCTCCTGCTGATACCATGGTTTTCCATATACTAATTTTTACTATCCTTTCTGTTCCCTGTCTCAGATCCTGCCTTCTACCCCTCACCTTATCTCCTGCCCCTTAGAGATCTCTCTTCCTTTGCATTTTAGTAGGAACTGGTTTGCTTAAGACCTCTAACTTGGAGTCTTATTTATAGTAATCTGTCAAATCTGTTGTGAATCTGCATTCTACACTGAAATTTTCAAATATATTTCTAAGTATGAAATGAAAAGGCTTGCCTCTTATTTAGAAATCTGGGACAATGGGAAGCCATTAGGACAGAGATATGGCAAGGGGGAATCTTTCACTGACCTTTGAAATGCTATTGGTCCAGTAAGTTTGATTTTGTTGTGTTGAAGTACTTGTTAAATATTAGGATTGTTGGCAATACACTTAAAGAAATTAAACCAATCCATAATTAATGAATAATAACTGCAGAAGAAACAACATCTCTTTTTGTTAATATTAACTCTGCAAACTGGCTTTCCTTTGGCTCAAGGTTCAAGTTTGAGAAAAACTTCTTACTACCCTGAATAAGCTTCCAAAAATTCTGAGGACTATGCAATCTCTCTTTGAAAGTTAAACTATCCTTTACCTCTGCTTAGGTAATGTGATGAGCTCAGAACTCAGAATGGTAGGCATTCTGGGTAATAGTGTAATAACCCATTGTAACATAAATATTGTACACTGCCATGTCCAGTGCAGCTCCTGAAATTCTCAGGGTGAAGGCAGGTGAAGGCAGTGGAGGATGAAGACATAAAGACAAGAATTAGAAAACAGAAAGCTGAGGTCAGGTGGAGCCCTCTCTCCAGGTGAGAAAAAAGGGACTGCTCAACAACTACAGTGCATTTATTTATACACTTAGCAGGTTGATGTCATGGGACCCCCCTCTGCCTAGCAATCTGTTTGCTTGGATTGCCTTGGGCGCTTTGTGTTCTCAAAGCTGGAGCAGCTTGTTGGCATGGTTCACCTTGAACACTTTGTTCTCTGGACAGGCCTTGCTCCAGCCCCACACATATCAATCTCCAGCTTCAGCTGCTCCCCACAGTACACTCATCAAAATGTAGCTGAGCATCTGTGATTCAGTGTAGGGACAACATGGTGGTTAAGCACCACCATCCTATGCTAAATCTAGGCTGAAGGCTCAAGTGCTTCAAAGTCACAACCTGGTTAGTTTCTGCTCCTTTTTTGCCCTCTCTCCATCACATTTCTCTAAGATATCCAGATTCTGGAGCTCCAAAAGCTTTTATTACTAGGCCTGTTCCCTATCTCCCCATCAGCCAGCAGCAGGATGGGCATCTCCCCTCCCTCCTGGCTTTAACATAATTCAGAGCCCAAAGTTTCTGCTGACTCAGACCTTTCAGACACCCATCCTAGGGACAGGGCAACAGGATCCTGAAATTGGGAAATGGGAAAGAAGCCAAAGCTTATGGAGAACAAGATACAAACCTTTTGTCTTCAGTGTGTCCTGAAAGCCAAAGATGCCAGCACCTACCTAGGTTTTGTTACTGGAGACACACCATGTAGTACCAAGAAGGAAATGCCAGTGTCCCTGTGTTCCACTGTTTTTCCCAGCTGGATGGTACTATAGCCACATATGCAGGGAACATAAATAAATGGCAGCACATCCTATGAAAGGTGAGTAGGAAGGTCAGGACCTGAAAAGCTATCTTATCATGTCAAAGTTTTACAAATAGCTGTTGAGGATAAGAATGTTTAACCTGGAAAGAAACAGACTTAGAATACTCCACTGGTGAACTTTGTCTATTTGAGAGTAATCATGTGAGAATACTGTTGCCCAGAAAAAAAGAAGCAATGTGGGAATTTGTGGGAGGGGGTTTGGCTCAGGTAAGGAAGGGCCTCCAATCCAGAAAGTGGGCAACCTTTGCAGGTACTCTGGACCCATTTTGCCTGTCCCCTTTGGTAAGCTAGGCTGGGCACTAAGAGCAACTTCAGGGTCCTGTCCATCACTCTATCTTAGAGCCTGGAGCTCCAGTCAACTAAGTTCTTCCTTTTCTCCATCCTGTTTAGTGTGTCTTAGAGCAAAGTCACACCTGGACCCAAGGTCAAGAGTCAAAAGGACTGTTCAGCTCACTTTGAAAAAGAAAAATAGAAGGGAAGCAAGAGAAACTGGCTTTTCAAAAGGAGAGCTCCTTTCCCTAGCCAACAGAAGAGAGAAGCGGGGCAGGCTACCGTGCTTTGCCCACAGTTGAAGCATCTTTCTCCTTCCCAGTGCTGGTCCTTTAGGAGCCCTGAATGCAAACCAGAGTCTATCTGGGTAAGGAAGTGTAATTGGGTACAATTTTTCTCTGAACAGTGTAGCCAGTGGTCTTCCGAAGACACTGATGTGGCCCTAGTTAAGCAACTGTTAAAGCAGGTAGGCACTGTGTCTTGGGAACACTTTTTTTTTTTCTGGAAATATGCTAAAAGCTGCCTCATCTTTCGATATGCAGAAGTGATCTCTGGGACAAGGAAGGGCTTTGTAAAAGAAACTCACATTTCTTTAGGAGGAAAGAGATCAATAATTCTCACATCTTCCTCCATAAGGCTTAGCACCAGGGCAAGACAGGTTGGCCTGGCAAAGACCAAGAGTACTTCTGGCTGTGTCAGAAGTAAGCTGGCAGGAGCTACAAGGTTTATATGCTGGGGCAGGTGGACCCAAACTTCAGGAAGCAGCTGCTCTATGGGAGGCTGGTAGAGTGCCTTGGAGCTGGCAGCTGAGGACTGTAATATTTGAGGCAGAAGATATTAAGGTCAGGCTTGTAGCTAAAGAAAAAAAAAGTGGGAGTGACTGCTTTTGTCTTACCATGTATAAGAACTAACAAAAAACTTCTGAAGAATTGGCACTGGAGGTATAGCTCAGGAATAGGGCACATTCTTAGTATCCTGAGACCTTGTGTTAAATTCCCAGCACTGCATCTTCCTAAAAACTTCTGAAGACTAGACACAAACACAATGTTCAGGTATTTCTCTATTTTGGAGGAGTCAATCATAAATTTCCTAAGACTATAAGTACAACAAACACTCCAGGATACAGCCATTCTCCTCTCTTCTTAATGAGCCCTAATTTATTAAGATACTCATGCTCTTCCATGTAAGCCTGGCCACATCCTCTCTCTCTCTAATTGGGAGAGAGGATGTGGCCTTGGGACAAGCAAGAACACTTTGGAATGGTTAAAAATTCAAATTCTTGGGCTCTACTCCAAACGTACTGAGTCAGAAACCCTAGTGCTGGGGTCTGGACAATCTGTTCTAACACACTGTATAGGTGATTTGCATGCACACCAGACTTTGAGAGCTGCTGGTATACAAAGCCTGCCAATTCTATTCTCTTTCTTTGAAAATAAGCAAATGGCCAGGCATAGTGATCCACACCTACTATCCCACCTACTTGGTAAGCTAAGGCAAGAGGATTGCAAGTTCAAGGCCAGCCTGGACAATTTAGCAAGACTTCATCTCAAAATATAACCTAAAAGAGCTGAGGATGTAAATAAGTGGCAGAATAACAGTGAAGGCCTGGCTTCAATCACCAATACTATGACAGGAAAACAAAAAGATGGAAGGAAGTAAGGGGAGAGACGGGGAGAGAGAGAGAGAGAGAGAGAGAGAGAGAGAGAGATATCAGGCAAATATCAGGCAAATGATATTTTGGTCAATTAAACTTGAGAGGTAGTCTACTGGGAAACCTTCTGAAAACTGTTCCTCAGCTCTTGAAAAGAGCATAAGGATTCCTCTTTCAGAAGGTCTTTGGGAAAAACTGTTTTTGTAATACAGTAAGTCCCCAACTTATAAATATTCAAGTTGTGAACTTTAACAGATACAAACGGTAGATACAAACAATTCACAGAAGTAGCTCATGTCTGCTGGACACTGTCACATTTGTGCTACTCTGTGCTTACTGTACTTAAAAGTAAAAATAGCTTATTTACAGTATTTGTGTTTATTTTTTATGCTTTACATTGTGTCAGAGGTGTATAAAAAACTTGTGTCAAAGGTGTATAGAGCTCACTTTGTTGGACTTACAAATGAATCTGACTTACAAATATTCTCCTAGAATGGAATTTGTTCATAAATCAAGGACTTATTGTAATGGCAAAACTTTATGTTACAGTTTATATCTAGCTGTTCCCCCCCAAAGTCTCATGCACTCATAGGTGGAGCTTTTAGGAGGTGATGGGTTTATGGAGGTTTGT